CTCTCTCTCTCTCTCTCTCTCTCTATTTCTCTCTCTCTCTCTCTCTCAAAATATTTATAACTTTTAATATTGAAGTAAAATATTTATTGTAAGGTTTATTTATTTATTTTAACCTTAACTAAAATATATTGATAATTTATATAGATAGTATATTTCTTAAGACTTGTTGCTAAACTGTAACTCACTATAAAACTTCTTGTTAACTATATTGTTTTAAATTATTTCTAATAATAATGGGCGAACGGGCTAGCTAAATTTAATAATAATAATAATAACGTAGTAAACGTATATTTTATAATTTATTTAACAATTTTTCAAAACATATTTCAGACTAAATATAATACAATATATAAAATATTTACTAAAACAATAAATACCAACATTTAAATCACTTAACATAAACATAAATCCAGTGTTTCATTAAATTCAATTTATAATTAGACAAAATGGGTTAGTTTATTGATTTAAATCACTAGTTTAAACATGTAAATCACGCATAAACAAGCAAAGTAGCATGCAAAATTGAATTAAATGCATATTTTTATTTACACATGAATAACTATTTCAGCAAAATATTTTTGCTAATAACCATAATAAGTATGTCAAGTAAGTTTATACATACCGGGCCCACACATCGCTACTCTATGTATATTTATTTAGATGATTTTGAAATCCTAAATGTAAAAATAGATGTGTGACGATGGAAAGGGATGCTGTGCTCTCTGTTATACAGTATATTTGTGTTTACAATGACATGTCTATGACAGGACATACCGGTGTGCATAACATGCACTGTATATGCGATCGTGAAATCACATACAAAGCACTGTATTTGTGCCAAAAAATCACTGTCGATGGGATTTTGCGAAAACACATAAACTTCACTTGAGTTGCCATAAATAAAATTCATTGAAAATAGTTTTATCATGTGTTTTGTGCTCATCTTGAGAGTTGTTTGAAATGTGTTTTTGTAAAACTCTGTTATAGTAAACCAGATTTTTTGGTGAAAGTACATTATACATAGAATTAAATTTTACATAACAATAATTATAATATATTAATTAATATAATTTATTTTATAATTATTGTCATCAAAATAAACAGCACATTTTGTTATTAAATTTAAAACCAAGGTATGTATCATTTACTAATTTATGCTTTGGCATATACTTATATTTAAAAAAAATAATTTGTTTTTTTGGTAATAACTTTGATAATTTTATTTACAAAATATTAATTGTAATTAGGTTTTTAAAATGTATATTATGAGTTTTTATTCTAATCTTCCAGTAAACAAAATAAAAATCAATTAATATAGCGCAAATATTTTATTGAAATATTATTACAGTTTGAAATTATTTCTAATTTAATTATTATCTTATATTTTACAAACTATAATAAAATTTTAAATAAATAATTAAAATATAATTACTTTATAATAAGCAAAATAATTGGAACAAATGGTTACTCATCATTTTAAAATGAATGATAAATTATATATAATTTAATAAATTAGTTAATTTTAAATAATTTTTATTAATACCTAGCCAAATTCCACATACGCGCGCGCACAAATAATATTGCAACATAATGGCCTCGTATGAACGTGAACGCGCCCGAAACGCGTACAAAAAACAGATCGAGTATTTTCAACGCGAAATGCGATACGAGTTACGCAATTACCCCATCATTGACTTCGACGCCAAAATGAAAATCAAATACAAGGCTATGGGTCTGCGCCGGGAGTGTCTGGACGCCTACCGGGAAAGTTGCCGGGGCATCGAGTACGATACTAAACTACATGAGCACACTGACTGTTTCAAGCAGCTCACATTTACCTCAATTAAAAATAAAAATATTCACGTGTTAGAGTATGAGGAGGATTTGATGGAGGGCTTGGATAAGGTGGTAAATAATATCGATATACTTACCGATGATAATAAAGAGAAAATGATTTTTCTCAATGAGTTTGCTTGTTATTCAGCTAGATTCTAGACTATACATCCCCTCGCCATCAACCCTTAACCCCCATATTATTTGCAATTGTTATAAACACGTATATATTTGTTACTTATATGTATTATTAAACGGCAAATAAAGTAAAACATTTATTTTGTATAAACATGATGAATTAAAAATTATTTAATAATCTACTTGGACAATGTTTCGCAGTATGTATCTATTTTGTTTAGGACTAGTTGCAATTTTAACGGCCGCCACAATTTTCACCACTTCATCACGGTAATCTTCACGCTCGCAACCATGCACATATTTTAAACCATGTTGGCCGTAACTATCGTAGTTATCATATTGGTTTAAATTCAACAATTGTGGTCGGAATACAGTAATAAAATAAGCCCATACGTTAACCATGGTAAGATCATGATCGTTTATTTTTACTTCTATTCTCAGTCTGGTGTAAAACTCTGGGTGGCCTTCGAATTCGTCCATTTTGGCCATCATTCTATTATCTACTGCATATAATTCACCGCATATTTTCTGTAAATAAATAAAATAAAACTTTATAAAATAATAGTAATGACTCATTACTAATGAGTTAAAAAATTAATGTTGCAAATGATATTCAAAATTTCAATTAAAAATTTTCAGAATTAGTATATTTTTATCAATAAATTAAAACTCCAATTAATAATATTAATTATTTACTTTTCCGTTGTGTTTTTTATTTAGTAGATATGGTATGTTAAACTTGGTCGCAATTACTAGTGGCCACTTGTCCGTTGTTTCAGCTTTACAAATATAGTCAGCCACACCATTATCAAGTTCTTTTAATACATGGTGATTAGGTTGTCCTATTCAATGAGAAAAAATTCCAAGTTAGATTTTATTTTTACATACAATTATCATTTAGTAAAATTATTAAATTCTTACCTGTTTTAAGTGTGCCATAAACAAACATGATGTGCCTATTAGACATTATTAAACAAAAGTTAACAATCTTATTTTACAACCAGATGTTATATAAACAATGCTATTCATTAAATTAAACAATTGTACAATGACATAATAACTATTAATTACAATTGTATATTTAGTATATTAATTTCTTAATAAACTCGTAATATAATTACCGGTAAAACAATTTTATCGTGCATCAATAAAATATGCATGGTTACATAATTAATTACAATTGCCAAAAATGTACTTAATCAAATTTATTATACACTAACTAAATAATATAACATCGTTCATTTGATCGAGAGTGCACATAACGGTCTAATCACCATCAGTACAAATGTGATAATAAATAAATTATACTGTTTGGTAAGTATAGTAAAATATGTAGATTTATTTTATTTAAAAATTTTAGGTTTATTGTTTTTGTTTGACAAACTTTATTATTAAACATCATAAATATTTTAAATTTAAATAAATGTAACGACCCAATTTAAAATAATAGAATAACATTAAAATTAGCTATTGCATTAATAAACACAAATTTAGTTAATCTCAATTGGCCTTTTCCTATTGGTCACTTTAATAGTCAGCACAATTCTTAATAACTCATCGCGAAAATCATCTTGCTCGCAACCTTTCACATATTGTAGGCCATGGCTGCCATAACTATTGTAATCATCGTAAGTTTCTAGGTCCAACAACTGGGGCTTAAAGTCCATGATGAAATAGGCCCACACGTCTATTACTGTGTCATTATTATCATCCAACTGAACTTGCACTTTTGTCCGAGTGTAAAATTCTGGATGACTTTCAAACTTGTCCATATTATTTCTCATTTTATTATCAACTGAATATATTTCACCATAGATTTTCTATTTGATATTTATTTCATAATAAATAAATTTTGGTAATTAAAATTTATACGGCATATAAGTAATATTTGAATATTTACTAACAAATAACTCATGTATTTTAAACATTACTATAATATTATAATAACTCACCTTTCCATAATGCTTTTTATATAATAGGTACGGCACGTTGAACTTGGTAGAGATCACTAGTGGCCACTTGTCTACAGTTTCGGCCGTAAATATTAAATCGGCCACACCGTTATCCGGGTCTTTTAATACGTGGTGATTTGGTTGCCCTACAAGTGATTATGATCACGTTAATATTTTATAATAGATATTTTTAAATTGTTTTAAATTGTATTTTAGAAATAATCTTAACCAGTTTTAAGCGTGCCATAAACAAACATGAGATGTCTATCGGTTGTATCAAGCATTTTGGCAAAAAGCAATTAAAATTTTTAATAATTAAGTTACAATAATGTATAACAATAATTATTTTATTTTCCCAATTAAAACACAATTGTACATAATAATATTGATTTATAAATCGGTTTACTGTTTTTTAAATATTAATATTGCATTATTTATATAGTATACACGTTACAAACTATGTGCAAAGGCCAACAATATATAACCTAGAGTAGTCACGCAAACATGTATTTAATCACATCAAAGATGACAATAGGGATTAATTAAGTGTCAAACTCATCTACTTTCATACAAAGTAAACTCAGCTACAGTTTATTCTTAGGTTTATCAAATTATGTGCCAACATTGAAACTAATAGTTTTAAGGTTTGGAAAATGCAACATGTACAGATGTAATCTGTAATATGTAAAAATCAATTTCATTACATTAAGTGGAAATTTACTATATTATTATGAAATTGATATTGCAAGCTGGACTAACAAAAAATGCTAATTATTTTACTACGTTGTCAATTAAAAAAATACCCAACTTATATATGGATATTTATATAAGCAAACATAATGAGATACGTCACAAATTAATTGTTTATTGTGAAATAAATGTAAAATAATAGGCTATTTTAATAGTAGGTAATTATTTAACTTTAGTTAATTTCGTTTACATTGACATTGAGTTAAAAACAAAATTGCTTTTACTATTACAAACATATTATATTAATTGAGTTTGGTAATAATAGGTTATAGAATACATAAGCAACAGAATATTATGTCCGATATCAATTTAATTGTACAAATTGAATAATTAATGTACTGTAGTAATAGTATTTAGGGACATTGTCAAAATGATTAAAACCTATTTGATTTGAGTAACTATAAAATATATGTTAGTATAATTAAGTGAACTTACATAATAAACTTAAATATTTGTTGGAATCTTATTTCAATAAAGACTACGTAATAATATTAATACAAAAAGATTATCACGATTTTCAAATTAAGTATTTGATTGCAATTTATCTATTGAGCTAAGCCAATGGGCGTGAGTTATAGATTTTATATCTGTTTTGTTACCACAATTTATTTATGTAGAATGTAGTTTATAGAATTGTTCGGTCCCTTTTCCCCGCCCTATAAGATTTAACCCAAAATTGCAGCTTAAGTCGATGACTATACCTTAACATGGGTAATGCTGATCTTGAAACTTTTTACGTAGACTTTACATGAGATTGATACTATTTAATAGAATTTATCAAGTTTATTATAATAATTATTTTTATAGAAATGTAAAATTATAATAGTTATTTAATTAAATTGTGTTTATTGTTTTTAATGTTACTAAAACCATACGTGTAATAAATATCAATAAATTCATATTTTTACCAGAATATAAATATTTATGCATTATCATTAACAACTCATAATTTGTAAATATTAATTACAATGTTCAAACTAATTTTGTTTATTCTAAAGTAATTTTAGCAAGATTTACATTTTGCATAAATAACAATTAATTTATTATAAAACAAATTATGAACAAATCATAATATAAATTATTTTTAAATAAATATAGTAAAACAAATAAATTAAACTAAGGACATTGTTGTAAAAATTAACCTCAAACATGATTTAATTGTGTGCTTATTGTTGATATAATGTTGATAATTAAATTTTAAATAATTTAATAAATTATCATAATAAAAATTTAATTATAACTGATTCATTTTAAACTAATGTTATTACAGGTATTGACTTTATAAGTGGTAACGATTTCCCCGAAGTATTTATCGAATTGAATTTAATTAAATTACATCGATATGTATATCAAATTAAACCTCATATATTGAAGAATATAAATAGTGAAAAA